AGTATGTGTGAGAAAGAAAGACTAAAGAAGGATAGTTTAAAAAAGTACATATTAAATGGCACACCAAATGAGAACTAAAACTGAAAACTTTTTAAATTTGTTTTCATCTCCACCGATCTCCCTTCATAATTCTCCATTCCTCAAATCTATATACATTTATTCAACCTCTAGCATAAAAAAGTTGAATATCAGAGTGCACAACGAATAAGACTAACAAAATAAGAATCTTATTAAACAAACGAGAATGCCGAAACGGCTACAAAACCCTGAAAGCTACATTGCGAATGACTTAATTCTCAAACTAAATTACAATCAATATTTATAGAGAACTAAATCTAAGAAACCCTAACTCGGATGGGCTAGGCCCAAATCCTAAACTAACAAGCAAAACCTAAATACTAAAATAAACCTAAATACTAATATTTTCCAACACCCCCCCCTCAAACTCATGGCGGTACACAACATGGGTTTGCCAAAGTAGATGTGGATGCAAAACTCCAAATTCCAATGTCAATGCCCATGCCCATGCTCATGCCAATACCGATGCCGATGCTAGATTTCCATTCCAAGTTCAAGCTACCATGCCCAATGCAAGAATACACAGGCCACAAAACAACCATATTTTTTTCCCTGTTTTTTTTCTTCCTTCTTCTTCCTTTCCGTAGTTCCTTTTTTTTTTTTTCCTTCTTTTCTCCTTCGTCCCCTTTTTTTATTTGCTGGGGGATCTTCTCCTCTGCAAGCAAAACTTTTTTTTTTTCTTTCATTTTTCTTTTCCTTGCAAACAATCAATACCAACTAACAAATCTAAAATGAACGATGACAAAGGCAAACAAATTGATACCAACGAGAACGGATTGAACCCTAAGGATCGAACCTGCTCTGATATCAAGTTGAATATCAGAGTGCGAAACGAATAAAACTAACAAAATAAGAATATTATTAAACAAACGAGAATGCCGAAACGGCTACAAAACCATAAGAGACTACATTGTGAATGACTTAATTCTCAAACTAAATTACAATTAATATTTATAGAGAACTAAACCTAAGAAACCCTAACTCGGATGGGCTAAGCCCAAATCCTTAACTAACAAGCAAAATCCAAATACTAAAATAAACCTAAATGCTAATATTTTCCAACAAAAAATTAAAAACTCAAAAGAAAAATGAAATGGTTCGACCGGGTCTCTCAAACTTTGAGTAAAATATTTTCAAGAAATAATCTACAGTATGTATGTGCACGTAATTTTTGAGGATTAACGTAGTCAAATTGGAACTAACCCTCCATCAAATAAATAGGAAAAAAATATAATGCTTTCAAGATTAATTTTTTTGTGGAAATGATAACTTTAAAGACATTAATTATGAGGCTATGTTTTGTGATGAAAATTGTAACATCTCATATCGACCAACGAAGAGGGGGTAATGTGCCTTATATGTATATGCACTAGTAGAAAAACTCGTTTGCGCGACGGAATCTTGCGCGACGCACAAATTTTCGTCGCGCAAAGTGACTTTGCGCGACGCCAAACATAAAACGTCGCGCAAATAGTCTTTGCGCGACGACACTTTGCGCGACGAAGGTTGACGTCGCGCAAAGCTATTTTGCGCGACGTAGGTTTACCTGCGTCGTGCAAAACTGTTTTGCGCGACGTCACCATTCGTCGCGCAAAGTTTTGGCGCCAAACCTACAATATTTTACCCTTTTGCCCAAAGTTGTTTTGCACGACGCAGATGCAGCTACGTCGCGCAAAGTTTTTTTTTTTTTTTTTTTGGGGATCTTTCATTGCCTTTTTCTTTTGTGGTATCCACTTGTGTAAATGTTTTAAATTGACGATCAAATTAGTTCATTGTATTCATATAGGTTTAAAGAGTGTCGCTGTAAAAAATCATCAAAATCGAAGTTAAAATAACCGTTAAATCGTGATTTTTCGTTTATAGCCGTCGAAAAGGTTTGTCCCATACTTAATCTCTGAATGTTTGTTTTTTTCGATTTTTGGCGTATGCCATCTCGCAGTATATACAAACAAATTTGACAGTTGGATCGTTGAAAGTAATCTCGTACAATGTGTTTCCCATCTAGTTCAATGGTATATATATATTTACTAAGTAGATTTTAATTTATTTATTTTGTATTCATAAGCAAACGGGCAAAAAATATTTTTAAAAAACCTTGTGCGACGTAGGTGACGTCGCGCAAAGTGTTTTTTTTTTTTTTGCTTTTCTTTTGAGGTTCTTTAATTGCTTTTTCTTTTGTGGTATCCACTTGTGTAAATATTTTAAATTGACGATCAAATTAGTTCATTGTATTCATAGAGGTTTAAAGAGTGTCGCTGTAAAAAATCATCAAAATCGGAGTTAAAATAACCGTTAAATTGTGATTTTTCGTTTATAACCGTCGAAAAACTTTGTCCCATTACTTGATCTCTGAATGTTTGTTTTTTGTGATTTTTTGCTGATGTGATCTCGAAGCATATTCAAACAAGTTTGACGGTTGGGATCGTTGAAATTAGTTTCGGAGAATTCGTATCCCATCAAAACAATAGTGACTAACACTTAGAGTTTATTTATACTTTCATTAAGTATAACATAAGATTTTTGTGGTATCCACTTCTGTAAATATTTTTAAATTGACGATCGAATTCATTCATTGTATTCATATAGGGTCAAGGAGTGTAGCTGTAAAAAATCATCAAAATCGGAGTTAAAATAACCGTTAAATTGTGATTTTTCGTTTATAACCGTTGAAAAACTTTGTCCCATTACTTGATCTCTGAATGTTTGTTTTTTGTGATTTTTTGCTGATGTGATCTCGAAGCATATTCAAACAAGTTTGACGGTTGGGATCGTTGAAATTAGTTTCGGAGAATTCGTATCCCATCAAAACAATAGTGACTAACACTTAGAGTTTATTTATACTTTCATTAAGTATAACATAAGATTTTGTGGTATCCACTTGTGTAAATATTTTAAATTGACGATCGAATTCATTCATTGTATTCATATAGGGTCAAGGAGTGTAGCTGTAAAAAATCATCAAAATCGGAGTTAAAATAACCGTTAAATTGTGATTTTTCGTTTATAACCGTCGAAAAACTTTGTCCCATTACTTGATCTCTGAATGTTTGTTTTTTGTGATTTTTTGCTGATGTGATCTCGAAGCATATTCAAACAAGTTTTGACGGTTGGGATCGTTGAAATTAGTTTCGGAGAATTCGTATCCCATCAAAACAATAGTGACTAACACTTAGAGTTTATTTATACTTTCATTAAGTATAACATAAGATTTTGTGGTATCCACTTCTGTAAATATTTTAAATTGACGATCGAATTCATTCATTGTATTCATATAGGGTCAAGGAGTGTAGCTGTAAAAAAATCATCAAAATCGGAGTTAAAATAACCGTTAAATTGTGATTTTTCGTTTATAACCGTCGAAAAACTTTGTCCCATTACTTGATCTCTGAATGTTTGTTTTTTTGTGATTTTTTGCTGATGTGATCTCGAAGCATATTCAAACAAGTTTGACGGTTGGGATCGTTGAAATTAGTTTCGGAGAATTCGTATCCCATCAAAACAATAGTGACTAACACTTAGAGTTTATTTATACTTTCATTAAGTATAACATAAGATTTTGTGGTATCCACTTGTGTAAATATTTTAAATTGACGATCGAATTCATTCATTGTATTCATATAGGGTCAAGGAGTGTAGCTGTAAAAAATCATCAAAATCGGAGTTAAAATAACCGTTAAATTGTGATTTTTCGTTTATAACCGTCGAAAAACTTTGTCCCATTACTTGATCTCTGAATGTTTGTTTTTTGTGATTTTTTGCTGATGTGATCTCGAAGCATATTCAAACAAGTTTGACGGTTGGGATCGTTGAAATTAGTTTCGGAGAATTCGTATCCCATCAAAACAATAGTGACTAACACTTAGAGTTTATTTATACTTTCATTAAGTATAACATAAGATTTTGTGGTATCCACTTCTGTAAATATTTTAAATTGACGATCGAATTCATTCATTGTATTCATATAGGGTCAAGGAGTGTAGCTGTAAAAAATCATCAAAATCGGAGTTAAAATAACCGTTAAATTGTGATTTTTCGTTTATAACCGTCGAAAAACTTTGTCCCATTACTTGATCTCTGAATGTTTGTTTTTTGTGATTTTTTGCTGATGTGATCTCGAAGCATATTCAAACAAGTTTGACGGTTGGGATCGTTGAAATTAGTTTCGGAGAATTCGTATCCCATCAAAACAATAGTGACTAACACTTAGAGTTTATTTATACTTTCATTAAGTATAACATAAGATTTTGTGGTATCCACTTGTGTAAATATTTTAAATTGACGATCAAATTCATTCATTGTATTCATATAGGGTCAAGGAGTGTAGCTGTAAAAAATCATCAAAATCGGAGTTAAAATAACCGTTAAATTGTGATTTTTCGTTTATAACCGTCGAAAAACTTTGTCCCATTACTTGATCTCTGAATGTTTGTTTTTTGTGATTTTTTGCTGATGTGATCTCGAAGCATATTCAAACAAGTTTGACGGTTGGGATCGTTGAAATTAGTTTCGGAGAATTCGTATCCCATCAAAACAATAGTGACTAACACTTAGAGTTTATTTATACTTTCATTAAGTATAACATAAGATTTTGTGGTATCCACTTGTGTAAATATTTTAAATTGAAGATCGAATTCATTCATTATATTCATATAGGGTCAAGGAGTATAGCTGTAAAAAATCATCAAAATGGGGTTTATATATAAAAAAAATGAATTTGAAAGGAGGAAAATCACATTTTCAATAATTTTTATAATAATTTTTTTTTGAAAAAATTACTTTGCGCGACGGCTTGATGTGATAGTCGCGCAAAACCACTTTGCGCGACGTCTACTTCTAAACCTACGTCGCGCGAGTTCTAATAAATTTGGCGTGAAAAATAGGCGCCTTTTTCAATTTTCCAACTTTGGACAAAATATTGAACCTTCCCTCTTTCTTTCCTGTGAACTCCAAACCTGAACCCTCGCTCTTTCTTTCCCTCTTTATTTCCGAGTTGTGATAAATCTGGAACCCTCCCTCCTTGAACCCTCCTTCTTTCCCCTTCTTTCGAACCCAATCTGGAACCCTCAATTCCCTGTACACCCCAAATCTCCCTCTCTTTCTTTCCCTCTTTCTTTCCACGCAAACCCCAATCTGGAACCCTCCTTGAACCCCTCTGTCTTTCCCTGTAGACCCCAAATCCTGTCGAATCAAATCCCAAATTCAAGGTAAGGGTTTCTGATTTTCGATGGGTTTTTGTTACTTAGGGTTTTTGTCACAAATTTATCTGTTTTTGTTGGTACAGGGCCATACAAGTTGTCGCACAAGCTACCGCTAAATGCTCTGATTATATCTTTCAAGCTCTCAAACCAAGGTGAGTTCATGTTCTTCCTTTGCTTTTTAATAATGCTGCCATGGCCTTCGTCTTACCCATTTATGTATTTGTGTTTCATATGTAAAACAGAAGAGTGATACTTTCATCGGAACAATCTCATATACTGACAACATGTGTGTTCTTGACTCCTCTGAATGCCATAATTTATATGCGTATTGTTGTATGTGTGTTTTCTGGGTATTCTAATATCTCATATAACTTGGTTCAATATTATTAAGTATAACTCTTTTCTCTGGTTGATATAAGATTTTTTATTTTTTACTTGTGATGAAGAAACAGTTATATTAAACAAGAAAGAACCAGAAACAAAACAGAAAAGGAAGCAACACCAAAACACTAAAAACTACTAACGAACTAGGAGATAGCAGCTTTTCATTGCTATAGTGGTGGGGTATGGTACAATATTTTTGCTTTGATGGTACAATATTTATGATGACAAATTCTACAACCAAGAGATGTAAAGGTGATCAATTAAGAAAAAGAATCCCAAAAGCAGTCAAATTCCCCTATAAAAACAAAGGTCCCATTGCACCTGATAGCCGAGTGTTGTTGTGGTGAATAATTTTGTCATGTATTTTGCACTCTTCTTCTGTTCATAATTGGGAGCAGGTGTGGTCCTTTAGTTTTGGTTAGTTTCAGTGATTTGCGGCATTGTTCTTTGTTGTCTGAATGCTTCCTGGGAAGGAAATTGAAAAAATAATTCCGTGAACCATTGTTAAAATAATGATTATGTTGGTTAGGTGGAAGGATTACTATCTTATTTGATGCATATTTATGGTCCTCTTTCGTTTGTGTCGATTGTTAGTTTTGAGTCCGTTTCCAAAACAAAAAATGGTGGTTAGTTTTGCCAAATTGAATATTAAAGTGTCAGCAGGAAAATTTTAATGAAGTTTTAGAACATATTATTTCTTCATTTTAGTATACTGTTTGTACTAATGAAGTTTTAGAACATATTATTTCTTCATTTTAGTATACTGTTTTATCACTGATACAACTTGGGATGTAGTTGGATCCATTGATACTGATACAACTTGGGATGTAGTTGGTTATATTCAAATCAGAAATAACATTGTTGTGTATATTCCGCATTTGATTGAAAATCTGTAATTTTATGAATCATTTATTTGGATTTAATTTCAGTTAAATAGAAATTATTCTTCAATATAACTGTGCCCAACACATAATTTCAATTTTTATTTTGCGGTAAGATTCCGTATAATTAACCTCTACAATTTTATTCACGTGTTCATGGTCACCACTTAATTAATTAGTAATTGGGTGTTGACCACCGAATGTTTCTTTTTTCAGTTCAATTAGGAAGCATTAAGAAGAATCATTTTATCATTCCCTATCTTTGCAAGAACGGATACATAATTGAAGTACCCAATACATATTGTCTCTTCTTTGCATATCTGCCAGCCGATGTTTGGAGTTTATTGTCAGTAGATTTGTTTTTTGTTTCTATACAACAATTTACGAATTCTCTTTTGTTTTACAGCGAGTCAACCACTGCCAGCACTCTTGTTGCTTAGGTTGGTTTTGCAACTTGCTACCGCTCTGTGATTAGCTTGGGTTGATGAGGTATGCTTCGGAAAGCTAAAAAGGAAGATGGTGGTATTGCCGATTTGGGGTTTTAGTGACTAATCAGACTTGTCCAAGTTGGGGTTTTGCCGAAATTCAATGTAAGTCTCGAGTCTCTATCATGTATATATGTTGTTTTAGTGACTGAAGAGATTAGGGTGGTGTTCAATTTTGAATGCGAGTCTTAAATCGGCATGAAACAAGTTAATTTCAATGTCAATATTATATTCCTAAAGCATACTCGTATAGTTTAGGATTTTGTTCAAATTCTAGAGCAGGTATTTAAGTTCCAGGTGTGAAAGCTAGTTCATTTTCAATTTCAAAACCACCAAACAACAGGAAAAGAAGAGGGGCACATGGGATTTTTTCATAAGATGCGCTAATTTGGAATCATGTGTTTGTATGTGCTGACAGGATTTTGATATACTTGTGGCCAACCCTAGAAAACAAAAATTATACATCCAAGTCAACGATTGGATTCGCAGACTTAACTATTGGTACAAGAGAGGTAAAAGATCTAATCCTTTCAAATACTGAACTTGTTTTCATGATTGCAATGGTCGTAGCATACATGATTGGGATGCATGCATGTAATGTTTGTGTTTTCAGAACCAATACGTCATGAACAACATCTCGATTTTGAGTCTTTTTGAATTATGAGTTGTAGAAAGAACGCACAACGAATATTTGAAAAAAAAAGAAAGATAAAGGAAGATCAAAAGGATAGAAACTATTAACATCACACCCGTGGGGTTCCTAGGAATCACTCCTAGGGTAAGGTTGCATCACACAAACCTAGAGAGAAGCAAAGCTCTAGCAATTCTATTAATCTTTAAACATGTACCCAGAGAGTTACAAGGATGTAAATTATAAAGACTTAAACCTAAAATCCTTAAAGAAGAATTAAATAATTCTTGTGGAACAAGGAAACTAAAAGACTAATGCGCCTGCTGGAGCCGGCAACCTGTGTTTTAAAACCCTAGATAGTAAAAGTAAAGCACCCTTTGCCCACTTGACAGACTTAGGGCTGCCTTCACTTTTGCTTTTCATTTGCTTATGGTATTTGTGTTTTATCAATATGAACCATCTTTTGGTATTTGTGTTTTATTGAAGGCGGAAGTGACGCAGCTGAGGGTCGAGGATAAGCAAATGATGGCGTAGCTGAGGGCCCAGGGCGATGAGATGAAGACCTGTGTCGGGAGGGTGCAAGAACTTGTACAAGCCATACAGATGTCGAGCCTCCAAATCTCGCTACCAGCACCTCATCTTACTCCACCTTCGACCTTAAAGCCACCTTGCCCTGCCGATACCCAGTAGCCTGATGTATTAAACTTAGTCCACTTGTAGTTTTTTCTTTTTGTTTGGACATCTTGTATGTACATTTTCATATATTTTATAATTAAATATTTTTGCTTGGTTAATTAATTATTCTTTAGAATTTAATTACAATATTTATCAAAAAAATTTTAAAAAAAATTTCACTAAAACAAAAAAAATTATTTTTCACTAAATAAAAAAAAAGGGTTTGCGCGACGGATGTGCGTCGCGCAAAGTGACTTTGCACGACGTAGGTCTACGTCGCGCAAAGTGGCTTTGCGCCACGCATGTTATCTCTTCGTCGCGCAAACCTACTTTGCGCGACGTATGCTGCGTCGCGCAAAACTACTTTGCGCGACGTAGGCTGCGTTGCGCAAAGTAGTTTTGCGCGACGAAGAGATAACATGCGTCGCGCAAAGCCTTCTGTCACTGCCTTGCCGCGACGGTTTTCGCGCGACCAAGGTGGGTTGGGCAAAGTTTTGCGCGACGTTTTTTGACTTTGCGCGACGAAGGACCTGCGTCGCGCAAAGTGTTTTTTTTACTAGTGATGCTCCCCTCCCTATAGCGCGAAGCATTTTCGGAACTCACTGGCTTCGGATTCCATCGGAACTCCGAAGTTAAGCGGGTTTGGGCGAGAGCAATCCCAAGATGGGTGACCCACTGGGAAGTTGCTCGTGAGTTCCCAGAAACAAAACCGTGAGGGAATGGTATGCCCAAAGCGGACAATATTGTGCTACGGGGGAGCCGAGACTGGAATGTGATAATTTGATATCAGAGCCGCTCTGCCGTGTGGTGTGAGTGTGTTGATGAGGATGTCGGGCCCCTAAGGGGGGTTTTATCATGTTGGTTTTAGGTTATATAGTTTATAATTAATATCAACGATTATATATTATAATTTGAGTGTGATACTCTTGACACCATATCAGCTTTCGCATAAAAAATTTCTGTATCGGGTTGTTGTAAGTAATATGATTTTTTTTTTTTTTTAAGAAGCAAACTACTATTTACGCTTGAAGAAAGTCACCATGAACTCCTCCGTATCGTAAGAGGTAAAGAAAAAAATTAGTGAAAGATGACTCCTCACATTATGAACCGTGCCACAGAAGAAAAAACAATTGGGAAGATGTGATGAATGGGAGGTGCCTAATCCATATTGTAGCTCAGATCCTCGTTGAGCAGAATCCATAGCTTTGAGTCAAAAGTTTCTGCTGTTGAACGTGCTGTGATTTTCCCTCCCACAACATAATATCTTCCACCACTGATATTATTATTATTTTTCGGCAACGAGAATATTTTTGACGTGCAGAAGAATGGAGACGTATGCCCAATAATAATAGGAGTCAGCTAGCACCATGCAGAGAGGACCGAGAACAGAATCAAATTTCTATACGCGGCGATGTGCAGATGCATTTCGTTGCTTGCCTTCTCATAAATGGACTCCAAAAGTTAAGCATAGCTAACCCATCAAAATGGCATGTCGATTTTTTTCTTTTCCAATTATTACTTTTGTAAGAATATGATATGTGGAGCAACTTTTCGGTGTATTCAGAATAACATTATACAATGTTATTATTTTATTGAAATTATAATATGTGAATTCGTCTTTTTAGTAATACATCTTAAAGTGAGTATGTGATATGTCAATGTCATCCACATTTTGTATAATACATAAAATTATATATCACATAACTTGTATTCTCGATACAAATAAAATAAAATAAAATTCATCATGTAGTTGTTGAGCAAAGTATTAACATTCACAATTGATGGACCAATTTATACCAGAATTTCCCTAGCTCTATATATTGGACCCATTTTTCCTTTTTGATAAGAGAGAATATTCTGCTATCTTCGTTGAAAATATATGATGGGTTACAGACAGCACTAGGAATTCATCAATTGCATGCAGCTAAATGTGGTACTCCTTGTGGGTCAGTTTCTAGGGTCCTGGCTGAAACACACGTCCATCCCCTTTGATACAAAGAACTGATGCTTTTATTTTGCGTTTTTTTATTTAGTAGAGAACATGTTTTTGACTAATTTGCTAGAGCAAGGAAGGACATGTTGCTTTGGACATATTCAAACGAGCAGAAAATTAAGGGGCCCACAACATATCCACAGAAGCACTTTCTGGGCTTGTCTAAAGCAGTTTAATATTTTCCAAGCAATTACAAGTCTTGGAAGCTATATACATGGTGCATGTTTTCTGTACTAGTAATTAAGAGTAAGTAACGAATTGCCTTTGGAATGGTTCTTTTCTTCTTCAACTCAAAGAATTTGGGGTTCGGAATTTTCCTCTTTCTTTAAATAATATAAAGTAGCAACATCACTTATAATAAAAAATTAATAATTAAGACATAAATAAATTCAACACCGTATAAGGATGGATCTATTTAGGAATTCCGTGGTCCCAGGACCACCCAGAAGCTCGAATAATTAGGTGTGAGAACTTCCAGAGACTACCCAAGTCTGGGCAGTGAAGGGAAAGAGCAGCGGCTGCATAATGTTCCACCTTTCTGCAAACTAGGAGAGAAGAAGAAGACTAATCCTTTTTTACATGGTATCCTAGATCGCATGCAGAGCATCAAAGTAAAGGGTAATGCTAGTGGAAGAGAATTCTGATCGAGTATCCTCACATCCTAGCCGTTCATCGTGCTTTGTACGATCAGTTTTCATCAAATACTATTTGTGTTTAATTTTAAATATAAAAAAAGTCAAATGATTTATAACTACACGATACACGATGAATGACTAAGATGTGAGAATCTCTAAGATCCCCACAAAATGAATCCGGATGGGATTCAATTCCAATGCTAGTGAGACTAAACTTGTAAACAAAATATGCAAACTAAATGATATGTCACCAATAGAAAATGAGCACGTTTATCAACGTTTAAAAAATAATTCAATCATAAATTTTTATATCAATTAATTTACAAATTTTTATCTATAAATTTAATTTTTCTAGTATTACCCGTAACTAAAACCGTGAGCATTGATGTATTGTTTGAGAACACCATCCTAGATCACGTGGAAGGTTGAGAGCCTCACCATTTTTTATTAAAAGAAAAACAAAAAGGGTTCGACTTTCAAAGAAAGTCCACCTCATCCAACATAAGGCCACCTTCATCAGCACAACACGAATCTCTTTTCCAGTCTTCACATAGCAATCGGCACGTCAATTTGGTATTTATATTCATTCTATGTGTTTGAGAAGTGACTTTTAATAATTGCAAGAGATTAGTGATCTTGCTAAAAAATAATGAAAAATGATTAAATTGAATTGTTTTTTGTACAAAAAATATGAATAAAAAGTTATAGTTTATCGTTTAATGTGTTATTTTTATTTAATTTTTTTTAAAGCTTTTATACTGGAATCATCCAATATTAAAATTTTGAATCTGTCACTGACCGTATGTTAAACATCCGCAAGTGCAATGGGAGTCGACACCCATGAATTTGCGTAATTAAGCTTTGAGAAAGCAGTTGTCCCCAACACTAATTCCATAAGGGTTGATCCTTGATACTACCAACTCCCACACGCGGTATAAGCGAGGGACCCATTTCTATTTCTTACACAATACTTCAAAAATCTCAAAAACGGCCATCTAACAAATTCGTCAGTTTACTTGCTTAACATGCATGCACAATATTACAAGACGGAACCTGAGTCTGAGTGCCGATTTCACGTTGCCAAGAGAGACTTGCATAAGCTTGAACTAATTAAGGAAACAAAGTATATGTACTAGTTGAGTTCTCATGCAACAAACAACGGCCGAGCCAAACGAAAAGAAAAGCTCCACCAAATTATCCAATATACCACAACCACTACATGTGGGTCTAATATTCTTCTCAATACGATCAATATTATTGCAAAGATAGTAACTGATGACTAGGTGATCTCTATAGCTATTCTACGGGATAAATATGGAAGAACATGATGATGATAGACAAGCTGCTAATGGAGAAGCCCCACACGTCTATATGATTTTGCTCCATCATTCCATTGCCACTCACTTTCAAGTTAACTAGAATGATAGATAGTTGATTATTTGATTAGTTGATTGTCAATGTCATTGGTTATCTCATTATCCAATAATGCAGCTATGCCCGTCCTAACGAGAGCAATTTGTATGACACGACTACACTGTCATGGTGGTGTTTCATGTCAATAATACAAGAGTATATAGAAAGAAACTTACGCATCTCCTTGTACTGTTAACACGAGACGCTACCATAGTTATATACCTATATGCCATACAAGTCATTCTCTCATGGTGGTGTCTCGTGTCAATAATACAAGAGTATATAGAGAGAAACTGACACATCTCCTTATACTATTAACATGGAACGCTACCATAGTTGTATACCTATGTACACCATGCAAGTCCTAATCTTCCGCCTTAACACACTGCATTTATTCCACTGGTCTGGAACATATAGCTGGAATTGGATCCTCTTCGAGGCAACCCCTCGGGATCCTCCTGACCGGTGTTAGTTGGCCGTTGGATCCAACGGCCCACTAACCCTGGCCAGGAGGATCCCGAGGGTTTGCCTCGGAGAGGATCCAATTCCCATATAGCTAGGTAGCGGTCAGTTCTTGTACATGCAATATGTAGGGTAGAGATTTTCAAGCAAAAAAAAAAATGTAGTTTGTAAGTTGGAATATTGTTCCCGATTCCGACAATAAGGTTTCTGAATTCGAACTCAAAAATTATGAATCTGAATATTTCCCGAAAATTGGAATGGAAATTGGAATGAATTTAGTGATTCTAAGAATTCCGAATTTTCCATCCGAATTTTTTGAAATTTTCCGAACTTATTTAGATAAAATAACTTTTGAAATATTTTGATTTTTGTAGTTATTTACTCAAATTATATATTTTGTAATTAACTCTTGTATTTTATTATCAGTTTTGGATATATTTTGTTCCTTGTTTTAATATTAAACACACATTTATATATTAAAAAGGATAAACGTACTAGTATACCACATAATTAATTCAATTTATATATTGAGAAAGAACAATAAATTACATGAACGAAAAAGTTAGAGAATATTCAAAAATTTATAAAATATATCATTTTTATATTTATGTTCTGAAATTCTCGAGATTTCTCCAATT